CGAACTTTTACAAAGGTAGGCAACTACGTGTACGGGAGGAGCGCCATCCAGCAGTGCAGGCCCGCTTCGCACAATGCGGCAAGGTCCTCAACTTCCTGGAGGCCCTCTGCCCCAACGCAGCTGTGACCGCCGAGTGGGCGCCTAACTTCCAGGTGAGCGTCAATTCCGAGCCGGTGGCGTCGGTCACGGAGAGCCAGAATGTGGTGTGGGAGCCACGGGCGTCAGGCCTTCTTGGGAAAACAGATACGGAGCCATCCCAGGAACTACAGGCGTTTCGGCGCCGCCGCTAGGGGTGCCCGCAACCGTCCACACTATGCATGGGGGGAGCAGTCCTGTCTTGGAACACGCGCCGTAAATCACCACGGTATGTGAAGAAGCTCGCGCGGACTTTGAAGCTCGAGCTGGGGGACTCCGTGGTGGCGCTGTTCCAGGAGACTGCGAATTGGCACAAGGTCGCCGGATGTACTTACAGCGGCTACACCGTCTTCGCAAACGAGGCGAGTGAGTGCAGCATCTTGGCGCCTAGAGTGTGGGCGCCTGCTGTACGTGAGCTACGTTTCGGCTGTTGCTGGTGTGGCGCATTAATTCGCGATACCATATTTGTTTCACTTCACGTACTTGACCATCTTTCTGAAAATGGCAGGGCTGCGACAACATTGAGGGAGGCATCAACTTTCATACAGGGTACCGTCGACAAGTACCACGACTTGCACCCCTGTGTAGTTATCGGCGTGGATGCGAACGTGACTCTCCGGGGAGGGATTGTCGGGGCCACAGGGCAGCTTGTCCTGCCACCTGCGGCGTCCCACACTCCGCGCGTGCAGGACTTGGTGACCAGGTGGTTGCAGGCGCTCCGCGTGCAGGCCGTGAACACCTTCACCCCGCAGCGATACTTGGAGAGCGAACTCGATGGGGATTCGCTCCGAAAACTACTGTGGACGTGTGGTCGCAAGAGGGCTGCTAAGCGCCGGACGCAGATCGACTTCTTATGTGTATCTGACGGCGTCGATGGACAGGTGGAGTTCGGTTACGGGGACCTTCCGTGCTTCAAGAAGTCTGATCATCGACCCTATATCGGCCGGCTTCGCACGTTATACCGCGATCCCCTTCCAGAAGTCCGGCCGAAATCCCTTGTTGGATGGGCGCCGTTGGGGAGCGCTGGCTTGGAATATTTCCAAAGAAGGTGCATGTCAAATGTGTTCAGCAACGGTGCGGCTACGCTTGAGCATGTTCAGGGCGTTGCACTGGAAGCCGCAATGGCTGCGGGACATACTACCGCCCGCGATCGTAGGTGGCAGGGCAAAAGCACGGCAAACGCCGATCTGAGAAGTGCTCGACACGCCCTGTTTCGGGAGACTCCTGAAGATCATCGGCATGCGGTGCGACGCCTTCGCAGATGTAAGAGACGACGGAGAGTGTGCATACATGAGGCGGAGTTGGAACTCATTGCTCAGGGTTGTCGGCGAGTGCGCAGGCCAATGCCGCTGACCATGCAGGTGGGCGGTGTGCACACTCCAGACAGGACGTTGTGGCTTGAGGAAGGGCACCGCTTTGGGGGGGAGCGGTTCCGGAAGCGGAACAACAACGAGCAGATGCAGCATCTCCGTCTCCAGTCGCTCTTGCACTCCACGGGGATGGAACTATTGGATGGCTGGCGGAAGCTTGACATCGATCTTTTTGACGCGTTGGAGGGCAGGGGCAGCATGCGGAGGGGGAAGAGCGGTGGCGTAGACCAGCGCACAGCTGAAATGTTCAAGGCTTTACCGTACTCGCTCGTCGTATTGATTTGGAAGCTATTCCGAGAAGAATTCCACGACCCGTTCAGCTTAGACCCGAGGTCTTGGAATATGGTGAGGTTCGTAGGCATTCCCAAGGTGGTTCCAGCTGCGGCGTTCCACCTCATGCGATGGATCGGCCTCCTTAGCGTATTCTCCACGTGGTATGCCAGGGTGCTGAAGGAGATTTGCCGCCAGTCTGTCCCATCTTGTTTGGTACGTTCGTGTGGTTGTCAACCAGGCCTTGGCGCGGATGACGTCAGCGGCATGTTGAGGGCCATATTGGAATACGCACATACATGGGGACTTCCCGTTGTGATTGCTGGACAGGACATCGCCATTTTCTTCGACAGCATCGACCATGATGAGATGGCAGTGGGACTTAAGCGAAGAGGTATGCCAAGTCAGCTTATTAGGGCACTGGTGCGGGAGGTGAGCTCCATGATGGGCACGATCACAGTCGACGGCGCCGGGGCCACGGCCCCATTCAGTTTCACCCGGGGCGAGAAGCAGGGCGGAATCGAGACACCTGACGTGTCGCGGTGGTTCCTTGAATCGTTTCTCGAACCGCTGGTGGAGGCTTGGGCAGTCCGCGGCATAGGCTTCAAGACATTGGAGAGTGACCGGATATACAATCATGTGGTGCACGCCGACAACATATGGCTCATCGCCACTTGCCCCGAGCACATCGCTGTTATGACTCAGGAGCTGTGCGACGTAATCTACCTGCACAAGCTCAGTTGGAAGCCTACTTCATTAACCCTCCTCCGGGGAGGAGCTGCGGCAGGACGAGAATCCACTATATCTGTGTCGTGCCCATGTGGCGCAATCTTGCAGTATGAACGAGCGGACAGTATGGATTGCTTGGGTTCCTTATTGGATGGAGCGGGGAGTTCGACAGCGAGTCTGCAGCATCGCTTATCAAAAGCTGAACGGAAGTTATGGGCTCATCCCAGACAGTTTTTCGGTCCGGCCGGCACTCGCGCCAAGATGCAGGCGTGGCCCGAATCCCCAAGCACATCAGCTGTATTCGGTTCGAGTTCTTGGACAGTGACATCATCGAGTTTGTTGGAGTTGACGCGTTGGGAGTTCGGCTGGCTCCGGAAAGTGTTGAAAATTAGGCGTGCGCCGCAGGAAACATTACGGGGCTACAACAAACGTACGAGCATCCGCATTTTGAGCTGGGACACCAAATGGTCAATCCAGTTTGCTCACCACTACGTATTGCGGAACATTTTCAGAGCAGCTTGGAGTGACAGGGACAAACGCTCACCGACCTGTGCCATCTGGTCAGCCAGGGATCGTACATGGTGGGATTCGATCAAAGACGCTCGTTTCGAGACGAGGAAGAGGGCACGTTGCACACAAATGCTTCCTGGGGCGAGAGCTTTCTGGGATGATGCGTTCGTGCCCGTATACGGGCACGGCTGGAAGACCATGATTGACAGTTGCAGCAGCATGGCGGACTGGAAGAAGCACGAGCGGCACTTCATCGACACCATTTGCGCACGATGGGATCTGCCACTCCTGCCGGGAAAGGCTGGCCGCATCGAGGAGACGACGGAAAGGCAGACGGCGCGGGCCCGTCATCCAAAGCGAGCCCGGAGTGAGGAGACAAGGATTGAGGAGACGATCCCTCCGGAAGCAAAGCCCCCGGCTGTCGAGTGGGAAACTGCTTGTGGACATTTCGTGGCCATCGTGGACTGCCAGCCGTTGAAAGATGTGGTCTGCGGCCATATGCGACTCCATACGCCGTACTTGCGGCCAGTGTATACACGCATCACACGGAGCATGCTGGGCATCTTAGAGGCTGGGTGGTTACCTGCGACGATCGTGGCTGACCCGGCGAAGTGGGTCCCAAGGGAGCAAAACAGTTTGGCTGATGCGTTTGCGAACCGCACGATGGACATCCAGCGTTCATGGGGTACGCAGTGGCCTCTTCCACAACACTTGCGAGATGTACGGCGTAACGTGTTCTTGCAGTCCGACGGAGGGTTTCGGGGTAACAAAGCCGCGGCAGCATGGGCCATAGCGGCGGCATTTGGCAAGGAAGTGCACGTTCTTGCAGCAAGAGGGGTGTATTTACCAACAACCACATCTTCATTCACAGCTGAAGCCATTGCATTAGACGATGGGCTGAGCAAGCTGAGGATTTTATGTGAGTCGGGCGCGTTGCCAAATTTAGAGTGGGGACGGTTGCCTGGGTAGGTGGCGTAGACACATGAAGGTATAATACGGCTAGCGGCTAGCGGGACCCCGCTCGGCGCCGAGAGGAAGAAAGAATAAGTAGTATTAGCCGTAGTAGTGGTAGCAAACTAGAAGTACACATAGACGTAGACGTAGAGATAGACGTTGCAATGATAGAAGTACTAGTAGTAGTAGTAGTAGGAGGAGGAGGAGGAGGAGGAGGAGGAGGAGTAGTCGTAGTAGTAGTAGTAGTAGTAGTAGTAGTAGTAGAAGTAGTAGTAGTAGTAGTAGTAGTAGTAGTAGCAGTAGTAGTAGTCGTAATAGTCGTAGTGGTAGTAGTAGTAGTAGTAGTAGTAGTAGTAGTAGTAGTAGTAGTAGTAGTAGTAGTAGTAGTAGTAGTAGTAGTAGTAGTAGTAGTAGTAGTAGTAGTAGTAGTAGTAGTAGTAGTAGTAGTAGTAGTAGTGGCAGTCGTAGCAGTAGTAATCGCATTTCAGATAGTACCGGTGGTCGTAGCAGGCGTAGTCGCAGAAGTAGTAGCCATAGTAGAACAAGTAGTAGTAGTAGTAGTAGTAGTAGTAGTAGTAGTAGTAGTAGTAGTAGTAGTAGTAGTAGTAGTAGTAGTAGTAGTAGTAGTAGTAGTAGTAGTAGTAGTAGTAGTAGTAGTAGTAGTAGTAGTAGTAGTAGTAGTCGTAGTAGTAGTAGTAGTAGTAGTAGTAGTAGTAGTAGTAGTAGTAGTAGTAGTAGTAGTAGTAGTAGTAGTAGTAGTAGTAGTAGTAGTAGTAGTAGTAGTAGTAGTAGTAGTAGTAGTAGTAGTAGTAGTAGTAGTAGTAGTAGTAGTAGTAGTAGTAGTGATCTTCAGAGTAGCAGTCGTCGTAGTATTCGTAGTGGTAGTCCTCGTAGTACTTGTCGTGGTAGTCGTAAGGTTGGCGGTGGTAGTAATAGTAGTGGTGGTTGTAACCGTAGTCGTTGTAGTGGTAGTAGTAGCAGTTGGGAGGAGAAGGAGGAGGATGAGGAGGAGGAGGTCCTCGCCCCCCCGAGGATCTCCCGTCGGGACCGGGTCCGAGGCGCCCCGCTTCGCGCCGGTGGGGCGCTCCCACCACCCGGAGGTCCTGGAGGCGTGGCTGCCCCAGATGGAACCACCGCCACTGGTCGAGCAGGGGATCCTCCTCCTCCTCCTCCTCCTCCACCTCCTCCTCCTCCTCCTCCTCCTCCTCCTCCTCCTCCTCCTCCTCCCCCTCCTCCGCATCTTCCTCCCCCTCCTCCTCTTCCTCCTCCTCCTCCTCCTCCTCTTCCTCCTCCTCCTCCTCCTCCGTCCTCCTCCTCTGGATCGACCACGGATTTGAGGTACACCAGAATTTTCTTCGCCGAATCCACCACCAATAGGTAGAGTGCCCCGTAGATCTGCGGAGCGCTCTGCGCATCATCCGTAGCTTCGGCGATGCGCCCTTTTTCGGCTTCAAAGGGGCCTTCCACGGGCTCTCCGGGACCGTCCGAGAGCAGCTCGGGGCGGACGGCGTGCCCTCCCGCTCCCGAGAAGAGGGAGGAAGGATTGGAGGGGAAGGGGGACGGATTGGAGGGGAAGGGATTGGAGGAAGGATTGGAGGGGAAGGATTGGAGGAAGGATTGGAGGGGAAGGGAGGATGGAGGAGGAGGGAGGAAGACGGGCACCACGACGACGATGAGGAGATGCGCACTTGCTGCCGCAGGTGGGGGAGGGGGTGTGGGCCGCCAGACGTCTTGGCCTCGCCGAGGTGGCTTCCCAGCCTGGAGCTGCGCAACTGCATCTCACGCACCGCTTTCGAGGTCTCCTGGACCCCGGGCTCCAGCGACGCCAGGACTCGGCCCTCCACCTCGGCATCACCGCGGCCGGCGTCGTCGTCGCGGTCGTCGCGGTCGTCGCGGGCGTCGTCGTCGCGGTCGTCGCGGGCGCCGTCGTCGTCGTCGTCGTCGTCGTCGTCGTCGTCGTCGTCGTCGTCGTCGTCAACGTCGTCGTCGTCGTCGTCGTCGTCCTTCTCCTCCCCCTCAGTCCCCCGACGCCGTATGTACGTTGTTTCGCAAGGTCGTTCCCCAGATGTCTCGAGTCATTCCACGGGAATCGAATATTTTTGGGGGGCTGTCCCGCGGCCTCGCGAGGGCCCCCAGAGGTAGAAAATAGCAAGTAACCTTAGGCCTGGACTGTGTTCACGATGCGTTAGCTGAGTGGCTCGCTTCTTCCGACCCCTCTTTCGGCCGCGCCCTCCTCCCCCTTCTCCTCCTCCTCCTCCTCCTCCTCCTCCTCCTCCTCCGTCTCCTCCTCTTGCGTGGTCCGTAGTTTTTTTGGTTCAAGGCCTAAGTGGTTATTCCTTCACTACCTCAGCGGGGTAGGCTCCCATCCCAGGTTCCATCGCACCGTCCATGTTCCAGGCGCCCCGCCCGCGTCGCTGCTGCGGCGCCTCCCTCGCCTTCGGCTGCCTGCTCCTCGTGACTGGAGTGCTCCTCGTGCTGCTGCAGGCATGCCGGGCTTTGGTCCCGCATCGGGCTCGGACATGGACGAGACGGATCGGAGTGCTTGTCGCAGCGGGGGTGGCGACGACGCGCGCCCGCGTCGCTCTCGCAGACAGCCTGCTGACTATGATCGAGATCGGCGACGTGACCGACGGGACGAGCGCGACCGCCGTGCCCCTCCCTGGCGCCACCTCCGACAAAACGTTTTTTTGGTCGTGCTGGTGGACACCAAGGTACCGGAGGTCCTGGCGGCGCCAGTGCCCCCATGCCGATCTTCATTCCAACGGCGATGGAGGGCCTCGACGAGGCTCCGGCTTTCCCATCACAGGAGCTCGCCTCCTGACCTCAGGATCCCCTCCAGCGCGCTGACCCCTGGCACCATCGGGAGGGCATGCAGACCAACAGCAGCGTCCTCCACCAGCTCAACCAGCAGGTGCCTCTACCCGGGCTGGACCTCCCGCTGCTGGTTCATTCGAAGCGCCTGCATCCGTCTGTCTATGCGAAGCTCACGGCCCATGTTGACTTTACGTGCGGGGAGTTCATGCGCACTACTGCTCGCACGGTCGCCGAGACGATCCATGCGGAGACGAAGGTCGTCTCCGAGAGGGTTGGCGTGGCAGAAGGTGAGATTGCGCAGCTTCGACGACGTATTGCTGATTCTGAACGGGAAGAAGAGGCTCAACGAACGGCCATCGGCGAGATCAATCGGACTCTCGCGATCGCGGAGGCCCAGCTCCTGGTCCCCGACGTCATTGCGGATGCGGGCTTCCACAGGCTCCCCGACCTCTCGGTCTTCGCCATCGGTGCTCCCGACCTAAAGGCCACCCAGCTCGTCTAGCGCGCTCTTCAGGACTGGTTCGCCGAGTCGTGGGTTGATCCTGCGGTGGCGTCGCTGGTGGCCGATGCACCTGCCGAGAGATTCGCGCTTCGGCAACTGGGCGGCAAGGTGATCACCTCACCAAGGACGACGGCGTTGGCCAGATGTCTTAAGGTCGCTGGCGGCGCGTGGAGGCAATTCGGTACTTCGGCGGTCTCGGGACAAACCATCCCGCTCCTTGTGTCCACGGGCCGCGGCCCCAGGCAGATCGGGCAGGAAAGTCAGGCGCGTCGGCTTCGTCTGCTTCTCGAGGGCGCCCGGGCGCAGACGGACTTCCGCCCGCGCGAGCAGACAGGGCGGGTTTCTGTCGCTGGAGTTCCTCTGGCGCGCCTCGACATCGGCGCGGCAGCCCGCGGCGACGCCGAGGTCGTTTGGAATTTCCCACGGGCGCGAGCCCTTCAGCTCGACGCAGACGGCCTCGAGCGAGCCTTTCATGGCGTAGTATTTGGCCCGCCGTCGGTGAAGGTTGTCTCCTGGGACGCGCGGGTTTTCCTCGCGGTCCACGCGGAGAAGCGCAAGAACATTCTGTCCTTCATAGCACCCTGCCCTATCCTCGGATGCGATACGTTGTACTCCTGCAAGAGGTTCATGGCTCTCCTGCGCGGCCTTGACGTCTCGTCGCCTCGCTTCCGCACCGGTGCTGCACCTCCTTCGGTGGCACGGGGCGCCCTGGCACGGGGGGGGGGTGCGGTGTTGCCCCTATTCTTCGACAAGCTTGACGTCGCGGACCTCGCCGAGGACCGGGGCCCCCAGTCGACGCCGAGGCCGTCGTTGACAGGTTCTTCACGTACGAGCTCTCCCTCGTCAAGTTCCGCTTCTTCTCCGAGTTCCGCTCCGATTTCAAGTCGCGCATCGGCGTCGAGCTCTTCCCCTTCAAGTACCGCGTCCTCTTCATGTTCCGCGTCCTCTTTATGTTCAGCCCCCTCTTCTCAAGTTCTGCGTCGGCATCGAGCCCCCCTTCGTCAAGTGCCGCGACCTCTTCAATTTCCGCGCCCTCTTCAAGTTCATTGGCCTCCTCAACTTCCGCGTCGGCATTGAGCTCTTTCTCGTCAAGTGCCGCCTCCGCTTCATGTTCAGATTCCACCTATGTCAAGGTCCAGGTCTACGGCGCGGCAAAGGCCGCCTACTTCCGCCAGCTCGGGTTCGGCCATGTGAAGTTCCTCAGCATCTTCGAGCTCTTCTTCCCGTTCTCCTCCGCCAGAGGCCGGTGCCTCCGCGCGGGCCTCCGAGCTCGCCAGCTCTGTCCTTGGTGGGAACGCGATCTCCGGCGCCCCCGCCCTGCGGAGACCGTCGCCCCCCGCCCGGCTCCGCATCTCGGAAGCGACCCTTCAGCGCTTTACTGCTGTGCGCTCTGCTGTTGTTGCTGGGGGGGGGGGGGTCAGGCGGTCGATCGTTTCGATGGCTTCGAGCGCGTGGCCGTCTTCATGTACTCGCGCAGTTTAGATCTGGACCGTCTCCACCATGCTGTGGTCGCCAGAGCGCGGGCGAGGCATCGGCGCTGGGCCACGTCTGCCCCGCTGCAGCGGCTCTTCTTGGTCCTTGAGGATTCCAATTTCCACGATGAGCCTGCCTCGTCTCATGTCAACCCAGCGCCGATTCAATTACCTACGATTGGAGCGGCTCCTTCCAGCCAGCCTTCTGGCGTTGCCCTGTGAGGCGCTAGCCGAGGTCGCTGCGGGGGCGACCGCGAGGTTTGGCCCGCGCGCTCTAACGCAGACGCGCAAAGATAGAGCCTTCGCGAGTCCCCCTCCACATGCGATGCCTAACCTGTCCATACATTTTACGGTCCACGCCGGCCCAGCCGCCCTCTGCGTTCGACAGCTCAGCGACCGCGCGGCCCTCGGCCTCTATCTCTGTGGCACGGCAGAATGGCCTGGAGGTGCAACCTTTTCCTGACTTCATCTTTCGGGCGCCTCTCTACGTGCCGTTTAATGAGAAGCTCGCGGCGCAGTCTCGCATCCGAGATGCACCGCCTGACATCTGTTGAAGCTACAAAGGCAAACGCGGTGGAGGCAGCCAGGGTAATTCGCCACTTGTTGCTTCAGTTTCCTGCTGGACAGCTGCATCAGCATGGCAAGGAGGTCGAGCCCCCGGCTTTGCGCTCCATCTCTCGGTCAGTTTGGCGACAGAGCATCAAGTTGGCGCGCGCGCGCATCTCGCGCAATAGCCCTGGTGCTCGCTTCCTCGATGTCTCTTCCGGTGTGGCGCAACTCCGTTCAGAGCTGGATGCGTCGGAGATTTCTCGCGCGGCGCATCATCGGCATCTCGCCCGTTGTCTCGGGCGCGCCCCTGCCCGAGCCGGACGCGCTCAGCTCGCCGACCGAGGCGTTGAGGCAGAGCGCCAATTTAAGCAAGTTCGCATCCTCCATGGGCATGCTCGCACTTGGGCGCCCTCTGCCAGGGTCTTTACGCTTGTGGGCGTCCGCATTCCTGACTCGGACTCGGCCATCCACTCTCCTCTGGGCGTGCCCCGTGAGCGCCAGCAGCATTGGCTACCCATTTTGGCCCATAATTCGGTGAACGATGCGGGCATGCGGCAGTTTGTCCAGAAGCACGCGCCGCCGCCCTTCAAGCCACCGCGTCTTTCTCACCCCGCGGATGGTGCCCCGTTTCTTCCGCGCCTGACCCAGATCGTCTCCCATGCTGCGCGCGGAGTCTGGCCGCCCCAGTTGCCGTCGGCATTTCCCTGTTCTCCGTCGCCCCGAAGGGCTCGGAGCTGATGGGCAGCGCTACGCGCGCGAGAGCCGCCAGTGCACTTCGCCCAATCTCCAGGCAGAAGACGGCAGATCACAGTTGAACAGCAGGCACATCGCATCCAACAAGGTTTCATATGCGGGAGGACTCTCTGTCAACGTACTGTGGCCATAAATTACCCTGGACGCCTCGCTGGTTGGTCTCCAACAGCAGCCGCGGTTTACCCCATCCAGGTTCTCTCCGACACCGCAGCCGCGTTTCCGTCGCTTGGTCGCCCATGGCCTTCCACCTCTCTCGGCAGCTTCCGCTGCGAGCCGGGTTTCGCCAATGGCGCGCGTTCCCTATGCTATGCTGGGCACAGGCCATGGTCACTCTGAATGTCACCACCCACCAAACCACCCCAACCCAACCCGAAGGCTCAAATTTACCCTCGATTTCTAGTGGGGGGGGGGCCGGGAAACATCGAAAAAACACATGTGGAACCCTTACCCCCCCCAACCCGAAATTCGGGTCTTCGGGTTGGGTTGGGGTGGTCTGGTAGGTAGTCAGAATGGGGACTATCATTTTGCCTGCTGCATGCGTTCTGGGATTGCCCATGGGCGCCCCCTGTCTGGCGCCACTTGGGCCATCGCGGTGGGCGCCGTCGCCCGAGCGAGTGGCCAGGTCCCCTATGTGGAGTCTCCTGGGGTTGCTGCTGCGTGCGCTGACGACCGCGGGCTGCGCCTCGCGCAGCTACGTTTCCTGCCTCCCCCCATGCGCCAGGTCGTGGCGCTTGCAGAAAACGTATGGGCATCTCGTGCTGGATGCAGACAAGTGCGTCATTAATCCTTGTCCGGGCACCTCTCTTGGCTGACATCGGCAGCGTCGTCCAGGACTTCCTGCGGCGCGAAGCGCTGCCATTGACCTCGTCTGCAATTGCTGACGCGGGCTATCTCGGGCCCCACGTGCATCGGCCCTGGTGCCACGCATGAGCGTCAGTGGAGAAAGGCAGCCACGAAGTGGTGGGAACGTTTTGTGGCACTTTCTCTCAATAGAGCCCCCGCTGATGTCTTGGCCAGGTTGTATCGGGCGTCATGCAGCATGGTCCGCAGCTACCTGGCGCTATTTTGGTGGATCCAAGTGGATGCGAGCAAACGCGAGACTCATGGACTCCATCGCGTGCTGTGGATGCCACCCAGCTCTCTCAGACTTCAGGGGGGTTTTACCGTGGCCCCATGGTCGCCCAGTCCGTCACCGCGATCTTTGAAGCTTTACAACATTGGCTCCATGTGGAGGATGGCCGACTCCACCACCCCCACTTTGCAGCCGTATTATTCGCGTTTCGAGGAGGTGGTCATCGCAGCTTCCCCTCTTCTAAACTTCTGTCGCGGCTTCTGGCCGCCCCCATTCTGGAAAGGAAAGGGTGCCATTATCCAGCGGCACCTCGATCCCAATGCAGGGCTCGCGCCACTGTTGCATGTGAGGGACCGATTCGCGTTGCTCGGTGCTGCTTCTGCTGCCCTTGCTCAAGCTCTGGCTGCGGGGCAAAAGCACCAGCGTCCGCGGTCTCAGCGCACCCTCATCAACCACCTGGCGGGGGCGATCTTTCCAGACAGATTCTACAGACGATTGGCAAGCGCGTGGTCCTGGCACGCCCCCAAGAGACCAGGCATCGCGCTGGCGTCGTCTGCGCGAACTTCTCGGGCGTATTTCCCCAGCCTGGAGGTGGATTGTCGCGCGCACCCTGGCGGGGGATTGGCGCGCGTCGCACCGCGCGCGCGAGCCCTTATCGCGCCCGATGCGCCCTGGGCTGCTGCGGCACAGATGAGATCCAACACTACCTCGAGTGCGAGCGTCTGGTTCATCGCACCTGCCTCCCGAGAGCCTTCACCCACGGCGCTGCGCTGGCCCGTCTTGGCCCCGGGAACCCAGATGAATGTCCCAAGGGTGATCGGCGCGAGCGCTTTCTCTGGGTCACGGTGCGCCATCTCTGCTTGTCCTACTACATGGTCCTCGAGCTGACGAGCCTCCCTGGCGGCGCACCGCTGGGCGTGTCGCGCGGCCGCGGACCGCCCTGAGATGACTGGCTCGCGTCCACTTGCGCTTCCAGCGGCACGGCACGGCACCTGCGATCCGCGGAGCTGGGCCAGTTGCTCCTCCTCGCCCTCTGTACCATCGGGGTCGTCATGCCCCAAGTGTCCCCCAAGTTGTCCATGCCGCTCTTGGTCGCCCAGGGCGCCCGCGTGTGCTCCAGGATCCAGGCGTGGGCCTTCTTCCGGGCGTTGCGCCTCGGCGGCCAGGAGTACCTCGCCAGCCACTGGGTGCTGTCGGTGCCCCTGACCACGGGCACATGCTGTTTGGGGTCCATGCTGTCGTGGGCTATAGCGACGGGGCGCTGACCCATCGATGCCACCCCAGCCAGCCGTGGCCACGCCTCTGCTCCGCGTCCTCGCCAGCGATCACATCCAGGACGCCATCGGGACCACCTGATCGGGTTCGCTGACGTCGTCGCTTCTACCGCCGAGCAGTGATTGCCGACCGTCTTCTACGAGAATCCCCAGCTGGACGACTCCGATCAGTGGCTCGCGTGGTGCCTCCCTTTCGTGTTCACGCAGTCCGACGCGCGGGACTTCGACTACCTCTTCCCCCAGATGGGCGATGATGCGCACGAGGCCGTCAAGCAGCGCATTGCGGAAGACGCCCGCAGGGCTTCGTGGTCTGGCCCATCCCAGCAGCGAGCCGCCATCGAGGCCTCGCTCCTTGACGGAGGCGCTGATCCTGCCACTCGTGCTGCGGAGATCAATCGCCGGAGGCTTCTCTACGAGCAGCTGCGTGGCCGGCATCCGCCTCGGCTCCAACCCCGTCCTGATACTCCCGACCCTCCTAAAGATGCTGCTTCTCCAGCATCATGTCGATGCTACTCCACATGCTGCTGACCAAGCGGGCGCGATACTGGATGTTCTTGCCCGAACTGCTTCGGGCCGTTCTAGCACGACCACGTCCACACCTTCAAGCCGCAGAGCTGCTGCAATTCGTGGACCGGCTGCTTCCACGTCTGCAGCGCCTGTGCCTGCCAACTCGGGTGGCCGCGGCAACTTCATGGACAACGCTGCCACTTCGAGTGGCCATGACTACATCATAGGCGACGGCGTCCCCGCCGCGGTCTCCGTCGCGAACATCCGCGACATGACCATCATGACCGTCTTCAAAGGCTGAGGTCACCCTCCCTCGCGCTGCGCGGCCGCGCGGCGCGAGAAGACGCGCCACCCTTGGTGCCGCTGCCGCTCCTCCTCTTGCGTGGTGGCACAAGTCGCCATAACGGCACCCCCGTTTAGGCCTCTCCGCCAGCGCAGACTTCCCCTGCCTCGCCGCCGACGCCAGACAACTGTTTACGATGCGAGGGGTGCTGGGCTTCGCGCTCCCCTAAGATCCTACGTTTCGGGGGAAAAAAACATGACCGGAACCCCGGATCCCATCTTGCTGCTGCATTTCCCGACACGGATCGATCTGTGATGGCCCCACGGCCCGACGCCAGGCGAGCACGCCTGGCGCAACACAAATATCCAGAGTCTGGTACCAACCGGTCGCTGGAAGTAGGTACTTTGGGCTTCCCGGGTTCCAGTCTACTTTAAGCGTGGCTTCACCTTTTTTTCCGTGCTTCCGAGAGGGTGGACGGACACCCAATCTATTTCCAACGCTTTTTTAAAATTTCATGTTTCTACCTCCTCTTGCCGACCGACGGGCACCCCCAAGAAACAGGTTTTTTTTGTCCAGGCGGCTACTCAGAGTATTTACGCGCCTTCCTGCTCCTGATCAGCCTTCGCCTTCGGCGTTGTCGTCGAGCTTTTCGTCGTTTTCGTCGTCGTCCTCCTTGTGCGCATCCACGTAATTATCCCTCTCGCCCTCGCCTTCGGGCCTTCCACTACACCTTTTCCTCATCACCCCCCCTCCTCTCATCCTCCCGCTCCTCCTCTTCCTCCCCGTCGCCCTCCTCATCCTGATCTCCTGTTCCTCCTCCTTCCCGTCCTCCTCCTCCTCCTCCTCCTCCTCCTCCTCCTCCTCCTCCTCCTCCTCCTCCTGTACCTCCTCATGCCACTCCTCCGTCGTCCCTCTCCTCATACGAATCCTCCTCATCCTCCTGGTGCTATTCCTCCTCGACGTTTCCCTCCTCCTCCTCCTCCTCCTCCTCCTCCTCCTCCTCCTCCTCCTCCTCCTCCTCCTCTTTTTTTTATCACTCTTTACCTCCTCATCGCACTCCTCCTTTTCCTTCTCCTGTTCCTCCTCCTGCTCGCCGTGCTGTTCCTTGTGTTCCTCGTACTTCTCGTTTTCTGCGTCTTCCTCTTCGCAGTGCTCCTCCTGCTCCTGCTCCTGCTTCCCCCCCTCCTCACGATGCTCCTCCCCCTCCTTCTCCTCGCATGCCTCCTTCGCCTCGCTCCTTCTCGTCCTGCTCGCCATGCTCCTCATTATCCCTCTCCTCCTCCTCCTCCTCCTTTTCCTTCCCCTCCTCGTCCCTCCTCGTCTCCTTTTCCTGCGCCATGTCAGGGATGCCTTCGCTTTCTCGATGTCGATTCCAGGAGGCATCCTCGCCATGGATGACCTCAAGCTAAGCAGTTTGGGCCTGGTCCTGTCTCCCCCGTCTATTGTTCCTATATCGTCCTCCCTGTCATCCTGCCTCCTCCCTGCTCACCGCGCTATCGCTCGAGGCATCTCCACGGTTGGCTCAAACATGGCTCCCCCGTGAAAAACGGTTGTAGAATTTGCCAACGAATCGCGCTCGCGCGCCAGCGCTGGCGCCAGCTATCACCTCCGTCGGGCAAGGGGCGCCCAGACCCCTTCCCAGACCACATTTCGACAACAGAAATGTACACAAATGGTTCGTTTGGATATGACCCGTCCTCCCTCCACCCTCCTCCCTCTCGGAGCCCAGAATTCCGAAGATGTCTTGAGGGAAACGCGCCAGGCCACCTCGCGCATAGCATCTCGGAGCTCCAGTTTGCCAGAAAGTTTCAAGCGAAACGGGTTGGACCTCCCCGCGCACATGCTCTCGGAGCCCAAAGTTGCAAGAATGTCTGCGGCGAAACCAGCAGGACCACCTCTCGCGCGGCATCTCGAAACCCAGAGTTGCAAGGATGTCTCAGGCGGCGCCCAGGGGCCCAGCCCCCTCCCAGAGCACAGTTCGACAACAGAACTGCAATCAAATGGTTCGTTTTGGTCTGACCCCTTCTCCCTCCTCCCTTCTCCCTCTCGGAGCCTAGTGTATCGAGGTTGTTTCAGTCGAAACGCATCGGACCACCTCGCGCGCAGCATCTCGGCGAAGATGCCTCCGGCGAAACGGTCCGGACCACCTCGCGCGCGGCGTTTTGGTGCCAAGAGTTGCGAGGTTGTCTCAGGCGAAACGGGCCAGACCACCTCCTCGCGCGGCATCGCGAAAATCAGAGGTGCGAGGGTGTGTCAGGCGAAGCGCGCCAGAGCATCTCGCGCGCGGCATCTCGGAGCCGAGAGTTATCACGATGTCTCAGGCGAAGCGGCCCAGACCATTTCTCGCAAGGCATCGCGAAGATCAGAGCTGCGAGGGTGTTTCAGGTGAAGCGCGCCAGACCACCTCGCGCGCGGCATCTCGGAGTTCAGACGTGAGGATGCCTCAGGTGAAACCACCTCACACGCTTCGTGGCCCCATAGGGAGCTCCACCGAAGGCCACAGTGCCACCGTCCACATGCGTCCCCCACACCCACTTCGGCACGCCACTCACACGTTTCGTGGCCCCACAGGAAGGCCCCCGCGCCACCGTCCACTAGCGTCTCCCACGCCCATGTCGGCACACCCCTCACATTTTTCGTGGCCCCACAGGGGGCTCCACCGAAGGCCCCAGTGCCACCGCCCGCATGCGTCACCCACACAAATTTCAGCACACCCCTCACACGTTTCGTGGCTCCACAGGGAGCTCCACGAATGCCCCAGTGCCACCGTCCACACGCGTCCCCCACGCCCACTTCGGCACACCCCTCACATTTTTCGTGGCCCCATAGGGAACTCCACCGACGGCCCCAGTGCCTCCGTCCACGTGCGTCCCCCACACACACACTTCGGCACACCCCTCACACGCTTCGTGGCCCCATAGGGAGCTCCACCGAAGGCCCCAGTGCCACCGTCCACATGCGTCCGCCGCGCCCATTTCGGTACACCCATCACACGTGCCGCGGCACCATAGTTAGTTCCACCGACTGCCCCAGTGCCGCCGCCCGCATGCGTCACCCACACACATTTCGGCACACCCCTCACACGCTTCGTGGCCCCATAGGGAGCTCCACCGAAGGCCACAGTGCCCATGCGCCACCCACACACATTCCGGCACACCCCTCACACGTTTTGTGGCCCCATAGGGAGCTCCACCGACGGCCCCAGTGCCACCGCCCGCATGCGTCCCCCACACCCATATCGGCACACCCCTCACACGCTTCGTGGCCCAATTGGGAGCTCCACCAAAGGCCCCAGTGCCACGGCCCGCATGCGTCACCCACACCTACTTCGGCACACCCCTCACGTTTCGTGGCCCCGTTGGGATCACCACCATACCCTAGTGCCACGGCCCGCATGCGTCACCCACACTCATGTCGTCACACCCCTCACACGTTTCGTGGCCCCATAGGGAGCTCCACCGAATGCACCAGTGCCACCAGCCGCATGCATCACCCACGCCTATTTCGGCACACCCTTCACGCGTTTCAAGGCCCCAGAGCGAGTTCCACCGAAGGCGCCAGTGGCTGCGTTCGCATGCGCCCACCGCACCCACTTCGGCACACCCATCACACGCTTCGCGGCCCCATAAGGGGGCTCCACCGACGGCCCCAGTGGCTGCGTTCGCATGCGCCCACCGCACCTATTTCGGCACACCTCTTACGCGTTTCGTGGCCCCATAGGGAGCTCCATCGACGGCCCCAGTGGCTGCTTCCGCATGCACCCACCGGACAAATCTTTGCACAACCGTCACACGTTTCGTGGCCCGATAGAGAGCTTCTCCGAATGCGGTGCATACAACGACGGTACTCACACTTGCACATGGTTGGGTCCTTCGCCAGGCTTCATATAATTCAGATCGGATCACCCTTTTACTTGTAACCGTCGTCATGTTTTGGATGTCCAGGCATGAATACGGGAGAAGTCTCAGGCGGCAGCCTCGTCTGTGAGTGAATTGCGAGGAAGTCAGGTGGGATCCCCCTCCCTATGGGTCCCGCGTCTCGTTTTTTCAGTCCGCGCGGTTCATCCCAATATTCGTAGCTGTTGTTTTTTTTTCGGGTTCTCCAGACTGGAGTCTGAAATCTCAGGCGGCGGACCCGTCTGTTAATGAATTGCGAGGAAATCTCAGGCGGGAGCTCCCCCCATGGGTCCCGCACCTCATGTTGTCAATCCGAGCGGGTCATCCTAAAATTTGTAATTGTCCTGGCTATTGGGCTCCCCAGGCCTAAATATGGACGAAATATCAAGCGAGAGCCTCGTATGTGAGTGAAGTGCGAGAGAATCTCAGGCACGTGCCCCTCCCTCATCCAAGGAGGAGGAGGATCGCGAGGAGGAGGAGGATGGCGAGGAGGAGGAGGAGGAAGAGGAAAAGGACAGTGAGAGGATAGTGAGGAGGAGGAAGAGGAGGAGGACGAAGAGGAGGAGGAGGAGGATCGCGAGGAGGAGGAGGAGGAGGAGGAGGAGCAGGAGTAGGAGGAGGAGGAGGAGGAGGAGGAGAAGGGAGAGAAGGAGGAGGAGAAGGGGGAGGACGAACATGAGGAGCAGACGGAGGGCGAAGATGACGGGGAGGAGGAGGAGGAGGAGGAGGAGGAGGAGGAGGAGGAGGAGGAGGAGGAGGAGGAGGAGGAGCAACAGAGGGCGGGAGGAGAGCTCCCGCCGAGGCGGAGCGGAAAAAAGGCGAGGGGCCAACTAGATATAGAGGTTCGTGTGGGGGTCCGACCGTCGGAGTAGGTTTTATGTTTCGGTAGGGGATCCATCCGACCTCTGCGCCGACCTGCGCCCCCCCCCCTGCAGGCATAGTTCGGGAGGAAAAGAAACACACACAGACACCATGAATCCTCGGCTCCCCAGAAAACATAGGAAAGTATGGGAAGTGGGGGGGGAAGACGAACACCCAGAACATATGGGAAACTAGGGGGAATCGTTTTTATGTGTGTGCATTTATTTGTGCGTGCCCCAGTTTCCCTTCAGTATTGGATAT